AGAAGTTACATAATAACAACATTAAAAGGTTTGAAGCCTATCGGATGTGACATTCGCAAATTTTTGCATGAAAACCTGAATTAAAATTTTTTAAAATTTCTTCAATAAAACTGGCAAATTGCCACTTATATAATTATAAGCCTTTCTCTAAGTAAGATACCCAACATGTCAGGTTACAAGCCAATCACAAGAGTCATTCTCCAGTTATTGTAAAGAAACAAAATTGTTAAATAAAACTGGCAAATTATATACAACCCAGAATTAATGTTAAGCCTCTATTAAAAAAAAATGTTATTCCTGACAGTTTCGAAACAACCGCAATATGCGTTTTTCAGTTATTTCTCTGAATCCAGGAATTTCAAGTTTATTAACTATGCTAGTCAACTAGCAAAGTTGAACCTATCAGACGAGATATCATCTGACTGTGAAAATACCATTCAGTTTCGGAAATAAAACTGGTAAATTGGACCCCTACACACTTCAATAACTGTCCCAATCTTTCAAGAAGGATATACTAGAGTTGAAAGTTTCAAGCCGATCTGAAGAGACTGTCTCCAGTTATTGCATGAAAATAAAATCAGTTAGAAAATATGTTAGAAAATTTACAAATTGGCATCTAGAAAGTCTAAACTTATTAGATGCCGTCCTCTGAATAAGCTACATCAACCATTAATGATTGATGCTATTCAGAAGAGGCATTTGCTAGTTATTTCAAGGAATAATAGTGCACCATTTTAACAATAAATGGCACACTGGTACCTACAGTCTCAGGTAACACTCTCAACACTCCCCTTGATCTGATGTACCAGTGTTTGAAGTCTGAAACTAATCAGCAGAGGCTTCCTCAAATTATCACATAAAAATCAAAATCGAAAATAGTTTATATCAAACAAACCACGGGTAGGAGTCGAACTCGTGGCGGGGGAGTCATAAAACTCCAGGCCAGCGCGTAAGCCACTGAGCCAGCTGGCTACAATAAGATTCATCCAATTAGGTTTGTTTGCAATCGTGTCATTACGATTTCGTGGCTCTTACATATGTCAGTAGTTGCTTGAGCTTTTCCCTAGTTCCATCACACAAGTGTCGGAAATTTGAAACCAGTCGGATTAGGCGTTTTCAAATTATGAACAAAAACCTATGCAAAAAAAAATCATAATAGTAGTAATAATAATAATAAGAAGAAGAAGAAAAAGAAGAAGAAGAAGAAGGAGGAGGAGGAGGAGGAGGAGGAGGAGGAGGAGGAGGAGGAGAGATATTGATATGTTAAAGATTTTTGACTGTAGTGTAGGCGCGCCTCTGGCAAGACAGTGATGGATTGAATGATGATGAAAGTGTTTCTTCTTTTTCCGGTCACTCTGCCTCGGTGGGAAACTGCCGATGTGTTAATAAAAAAAAATGAAAAAATCAGCAAATATACAACCGCGAACCACAAAAGCCATCATTCAACCACAACAAACAGTCAACCAAATGTAACAATCATCCAACACTCAGACGTAATCAACGTTCACCCGCAACCAACAATCAGTGATTGAAATTAAGTCATTCATTAAATAGAATCAACCACAATTAACCAACAATTCGCTACAAGTATTTCATCAATAAACAATCCTTCAGTATACAATAAAAAACAATAAACCACGCAAACAATAATAAACAAATAAAAACAACAACAGTAATAATAAAAAAACAACAATAATCAAATAACTACAACAACAATATTCAACAAATAACAACCATAACGACAACTACAACCACAAAAACCACAACAACAACCAACTTCCGCTTGTACTTAATCTGCGCAATTCCAGTAACAAAATTAATTAAAAATTTGCTTTTAATCAGAAAATACGAAGAAAAATGCACCAAATCAATCAACTAATGCTTCGTTAGTTAAGTATTATCTCCACCAACATAAAATAAAGTGACGGAAATGTTTCCCTAAAACGCCCATATTTCGACCTTAGTCTTTTTCTCACTTGACAAAAATTCATCTCCTTCCCTTCGTGCACTGTCACTGTAAAACTTACCTTCTTTTCATCTGGAGTAAAGTCACTCGGGACACTAAATATGCGCGTTCTATTCGAATACAACTGAGAGAACACGAACACATTCGTTAGTCACTTCTTTTGCACTAGTCATCAAATTTCGCATTGCTAAATATTAGTATAAGTATTTCCGTAACACCTTAATCACAGTCAAAATTACTTTCGCCTCCTCGGATCTTTTGTTGTTCCTCTATAAGGGCTACGACAGCTTGCTCTGTGCTGTATGTATCACGCAAGAGTACTGTTGACCAGGTTAGTAAGGTTCGTCAGGAAACTGGACAAGTGTTTCCTGACGCGGGTCTTAGCCATATGACGACCCGCCGTTGGAGCTTTAGGACATCCGACCGAGGCCTTCCGCTGGCTGATCAGTCCACCACTTCAAAAATTATTACCATTTATAGTGTTGATCAGTCTTGCTACGAAACTCTCGACGAACCTTCTGCCATCTATATGTAAGTTAATTTTGACAGCGTATAAACTATTTGTGCTCCTATGTGTTGATAAGTCCACTTTCAATGAATGCAAATAAGACATATGCAGCACTTGAGACCCTATATTGCGGAGACATTTTGCTAACTAGTGGTTTTATCAGTATAGAGAATACCATCCCCACCGCCTCCACCATTTCCGGTCTCTGTATAGGACTAATATAGCCAATGGCTGTCAAAACATCTTAAAAAAAAAAAAAGATTCCCAAGTGTCTTAATCAAACCTAACTTGACATACCTCACACATTACTCTGCACAGAAGAAATCTCACACAATTCATTAGATCAAATTGCAAATTGGCACCTACCTAGCGCAATACCAGTTTTCTGATCAGAAAAGGTTGCGTCAAATTGTCGCACGAAAACATATATCATATTTAGACCTAAGAAAGTGGCAAAATGACACCCTTACGTCAGTAACTCTCCAAGCCGTCTTCCAGATATAGTAAAATATACCAATAATAATGTCTCTTCAATAAAATGCAGTAAATCGCATATTGTTTCTTAATCACATGAGCGATGAATATTTGGAACCGATCATTTATTTCTGGGAACACCGAATGGTTCAGGTTGTCATACAGTTTTATACTTGCTGCTCCATACATTTTTTATTATAGTTCTTGTAAATGGTTGAAGGCGGAGGCGTTTATGTTGAGTCTGAGGAATGGAAGGTAATCAGGTTTTAGCAGAAGACACGTGTGTTTCGCAGGCATCAGGTTACACCAATCTGACGAGTATTTTCTTATAGTCTTCCTGCGTTGGTGTTGACTGCATCTTTACCTTACGTCCGTCTCCCCCGCTGCTTGGTACATCCCTTCGTTAAATCTCTCCCTCTTCGGTACATCCCTTCATCAAACCCTTCCTGGTACATCCCTAATCCAACCTCTTTTGGAACCTTCCCTTATCCACCCATTCCAGGTACATCTTCCATCCAACCTCCCCTCATAGGCCTTTCCTGGCACATCTCCCATACATTTTTTCCTGGTACATCCCTCATCCATCCCGCTCATGGTACCCTCCCTAATCCATCTTTCCCTGGTACCTCCCATTATCCATCCTCCCCTGGTACATCCCTCATCAAATTTAAACAGTGTGCGTGGAGATACCAGTGCTCTACGGAATTACGATGTGTCCCGCCTGGTAGGGCACACTGGTATTGAATATTGTACTGAGCCTTGGGAGCCGTGCTGCCTGTCCATCATGTTATTTCACTTGTTATCGCGATCGTACCTGGCGCGATCACTCTCTAATCTCAGACATATTATCATAGCTACACTTAAACTCCTGTTTGTAATTAACGTCCACTATTTCTTCACCTGATATTAGGGAAAATAAAAGAAGTCAGCTGACGGAGTGAAAACCTACAAGACTCGAATTAGAAGACCCTGGGGTAAGAATAACGCCGAGCATATCGCTAAAGGAGCGTATAAATTTAACAGTATTGGCGGGGATGCTCAATAAAAACTTTTTTTTCGTCGTAGCCTCGAGAATGAGTAATAAAACTATGTGATCTGTAAACTTTTCCTCTTTGTAAATACTTTTGCCTCCGATATTAAGACAAACGTATGTAAATGATACAAGTTTGGACATCTGATACTTATGGACAGAAATCCGCAGCTGTGTAAGAGTTTGGTTGTCAGTTCTGACTGGAAGATATGGCGTATTGCAGACATGTATGAAGACAAAGACACATGTTGCGGAAGAAGCTTTTATTGAGATAACACTTTTTCAGTGTAAAACTTTATCAAGTTCTGTATCAAAGACGTGATAAAAGTCTACAATGCTTCGCTTTTTGTAGATCTTTACCAGGGTCTGATGAAGTCTAGAGAGAGAGCAAGACGTTGTTTGTTCTGAAATCTGTTTTTTCCTTCGTCTATTTTCTGTTCGTTGTTACCTTTTTCTGTTTAGAACTTGAAGACTGATTCATCCTTCCTGGAATGGATGCTTCTCGAGATGAAAATAAAATACTTGATCATGGACGATAAAGCTGATTATTTTTATTTGTCAAACCTCTGTGGTTATTTAGCTATCAACTTCATTAATTTAATGGGTGTGGCGTATTTTTAATGCCGTTATTATTTCGTCTCCATCATGTTGGATGGTAAAGCTTATTTCCTTCAGGAACTATTCTTCCCTCCCCTCAGGAATTACTCTTCCCTCCCTTCAGGAACTATTCTTCCCTCCCCTCAGGAATTACTCTTCCCTCCCTTCAGGAACTATTCTTCCCTCCCCTCAGGAATTACTCTTCCCTCCCTTCAGGAACTATTCTTCCTTCCCCTCACACCCTGACCACCAACTCACAGACACTCTCATCACCCCCCGAAACTCTCACCAACCACCCACACCATCACCACCTGAAATGAAATCTCTTCTTACCACTCCTCCAACGAAATTCCCTCTCTGCACTTCTCCATCCCCTCACCAGCAGTTCTCCACTCGTATTCAACCTTCCTCACCACCACCACCAGGAGACGCCTTACGTGATGCTAAAGAAGGATGAGGCAACCTTAGAGGGCAACGATCGCTACAAGGGATTCTGTGTTGACATGCTGGAACATATCGCCACCATGATCGGCTTCCAGTACAAGATCCAGGTTTCTCCCTCCCGAACCTACGGGATCCAGGACCCTGTCACGGGAGAGTGGAACGGCATCGTTCGTGAGCTGCAGGATAACGTGAGGATCTGGTTACGATGTGGCACTCGTGCATGAGTCTTGTGAATTCGTCTTATTTATTTTTATCATGATATCGCGCCGTGGTAACAGTGGATGAAGCATGAAGTGCATGTAATTTTTTTTTAAGAATATAGAAAGTAGATCGATCTCTGAATTATAATGTTTTTTCATTGTTTAATCGTTATTGTTGCATTTAACGTTATTTATGTCATAATAAATACAGGCATTTATTGCACGAAAATACTTGTATGTTATGTTGCTTCATGTTAATATGTAACCAATTTTCACTGTTGCAAGTTGTGATGCGTATTCTATGTGTTGCAGCCAAGTAAAATGCACGTTGCAGATTTTTTTATTCTATAGTTTTTACCTGTGAGCAAATCATGATTTCACTGCATATCTCTCAAATATTTCCCAGTATTTCTCTCTGGTGGCTATCAAATATTATTCAGGATTAGTGGCATGCGGCAGAGCTTCTGACAGATGTAATGTTCATAGAACTTAGCTGAAGAATTCAAGAATTCAGGCCATCGTAGCTAGTTTTGGGGAGACTGAAAATGTTGAGAAGATGTACACGACCTTTTCTAATGAGTTGCTATTCATACAAGAAATTGGAGTTATCCTCCCGTATACTTGGATTAAACCTGATTACAGGTTTAGTCCTCAGGTGCTGTATAAACCATACGGGCTTTACGCTTCCCCATGAAAATAATATTAATATGGATTCATGTTAAGTAAATGCAGTTCAATCAAAGGAAGGAGAGGGCAGAATCAATTTCTTGGATCAAGAGCATTTCACCGGCATCATGGAACCTCGTTCGAAGAGCCCTTAACATTTTCATTCCTAAAAAACTAGATACATTTCCCCTCTTACTTCTAATTCATATTTACCTACGTCTGATTTCATCCATTTCTATGTCATTGATTTACTAAAATGGCTAATGTAATTATAGCAGACCTTAAGGAAGGATAGGTTGTCATAAAATTGCAGGAGCATTAGATAAAGAAGAGTTGTCACCATCGTGTGCCAAAACTATGGGGATGTTTTAAAAGAGTATACCATAAATTTATAATTTTGGAGCATGAGGACTACGAGCCTTCTGTTCCTGTAACTACAAATAGTTAATTACACACACGGAAACAAGCAGGTATAACTAAATCAAATGATTAGTGTATTCACACACACACACTATATGGTTTTTTAAGAGAAGATTGGTTTGGGAAGAAGTGGCTAAGAATCAACGCGATTCGACTTAAGGTAAGCAGGTCGGCCATGAGCCGAAACAGGACCCCACAGGCATAGCTTGGTAAGTACGTTATCAGTATCACATACACGAAAAGTCCTATGGACAAGTAGTTAATTCTTGGTGAGGAGAGTGAGCAATGGGAGACGCCAGAGAGTTGATCATCCAAAAGGAATCTCACACTTTGACACAACAGTGTACTGTTGACTTAATAAACAAAAGTCACAGGTGCAGAGCAAACATTTGTTGTGAGAGACGTTCACTCTTCATAGAGCTTTATCAGCTCTGTGTTGGTCAAGCTCTGCACAGGGCCAGACGCAGTCACAAGAGAAGCTGCTTTTTTCCCCATCTCTTTTCCTCACTACGGCTGCATTATGTGACAGTCATGGTATGATCTCGGGTGACGTATGATAGAGGAAGACATTATTTACAACTCTCTCTCAATAAGGAGTTCCAGGAGGACTGCGTCTCTGTGTTATTACCGAATACCAGAAATGTCACTGTCGCATGATTCAATTTCTCGGGAAGTTCTGCTGGCAGTAGTGAGACAGACACACTATCGAACTTCGCCCTCTTTATTTAATAGTATAATTCATCTTTACCGCTCAGACCTACCCATCTTTATTACTCTTTCCTGCACAACTTCAACACTCAACCCCATCCATCTTTACTAATCAGTACAGAACATCTTATTAACTACTCATTACAGTACATCTTTACTAGTCAACCCCACACATCTTTACTACACAATACAGAATATTTACTACACATCCCTGTACTGGCAGTGACAATCTGGTATATATATGAAGAATTTTTGGTATTACTTACTGTTGCAGCACCAACTTTGCTGCAGTGCCTACAATGCTGCAGCAACAACACTGCTGTAGTGCCTACAATGCTGCAGCAACAACACTGCTGTAGTGCCTACAATGCTGCAGCAACAACACTGCTGTAGTGCCAACAATGCTGCAGCACCAACAATGCTGTAGTGCCTACAATGCTGCAGCAACAACAGTGTTGCAGTTCCCACAATGCTGCAGCACGAACAATGCTGCAGTACCTACAACGAAACAGCACCAATACTGTTGCAGTGCTTAAAGTTCTGCAGTACTAACACTGCTGCAGTGCCTACAATGTTGCAGCACCAATACTGCAACAGTGCCTACAGTGCTGCAGCACCAACACTGCTGCAGTGCTTACAGTGCTGCAGTATCAACACTGCTGCAGTACCATCACTGTTGCAATATAAACACTGTTGTATTACCTTCAGTGCTGCAGTGCCAACAATGCAGCAGTACCTACAATGCTGCAGTACCAGCACTGCTGCAGTACCAACATTGCTGCAGTACAAACATTGCTGTACTGCAGCACCAACACTGCTGCAGTGCTTACAGTGCTGCAGTATCAACACTGCTGCAGTACCATCACTGTTGCAATATAAACACTGTTGTATTACCTTCAGTGCTGCAGTCCAACAATGCAGCAGTACCTACAATGCTGCAGTACCAGCACTGCTGCAGTACCAACATTGCTGCAGTACAAACATTGCTGTAGTACCAACAATACTGCAGAATCAACAATGCTGCAGTACCAACATTATCACCCAACTAAGAGAGGTGGTTGGAGAGATTTCCTGCATCTCCCAGATATAAAGCACCAGCAATGCGCGAGGAGCACAATGATCATTTTGGCTTCACTGAGTCCCCAGGAAGTAAGTATCAACGTCTGACGGAGCATAATGGTCTTCCAGGTCACCTATATACCGAAGAAGAAAGCGACATCAATGTCTGAAGGAGAATATTGGTTCTCCTGTTCTCCTACATCCCAGGTAGTAAGCGCCATTAACGTCTGAAGAGCAAATTGGTCTTCATGGTTGCCTACTTTCCCAGGAAGCAAACGCTGTTAACGTCTAAAGAAAGTTTGATCTTTCGAACATCTAAAAGCCTGGTCGCTGATCAATCAGGCTATTGGTAACTCAACAAAGGTCCTCCTTTTCTGCGCCCCTCAAGAAAGGGAGCATCATACAGGAGAGTTTTGAAAAAGCATACGTGAAGTCTAAACTCCGGTAGACATTCAGCGCAAGGTAATGTGGAGGTTCGATCCTCCGTTCTCTTTCATGAACATCTAACAGCACTCTGCTCCTGGTGGATCCTCTGAACATCCGCTGGGTAAACGGCCAGCCGTACAGCACGAAGGATAATGGGAGGGACGCCATGCAAATGAGGCACTCAGTGCCAGCTTCCAGTGGGACAGTCATCAAAGTCGTTTATGTGATTTGGCGAAGCTTCAAGCAGCAAGACGGCCAGTGATGTGTGACATGTGTGTCTGCAGGAGAGAGTGCACCTCCTCGGCTTCCACTCCACCGTGACACACACAACTTAAGGACCTCCTCGTCGGCTTCCACTCCACCGTGACACACACAACTTAAGGACCTCCTCCTCGGCTTCCACTCCGCCGTAACACACACAGCTTAAGGTCTTCCTCCTTGGCTTCTTCTCCACCGGAAAGCACAGTTTAAAGATCTCCTCCTTGGCTTCCACTCCACCTAGATACACAATTTAAAGACCTTCTCTTTGGCTTCCTCCGAGAGACGTTTTAAAGACCTCCTTGGCTTGCACTCTACCAAGATACATATAGTTTAAAGACCTCCTCCTTGGTTTCCACTCCACCGGGACACAGTTTAAAAACCTCCTCCTTGGCATCCACTCCACCGGGAAACACATACGTGGAGTAAATAAGACCGGATGATCACTACCAAAGGTCTAATTACCTGTGCTTAAGAACGTCCTCCACATACCATCGAAACTAGAGTGGCAAGTGTCCAGCTGGAGCATAGCCCTTCCTGACTAAGATTTAATATTCCAATGGTCCAAGTCGGACCGAAACGTCGTCATAAGTTCCTTTCTCCCATGTGCGGGTTATTTGTGTATGTATCCTTCACATATTGTTCACAAAGTGTGACTGGCCTTGTCTGGAGGCGAGTGAGGGGGATACAGACCCGTCTTTCACGGGAGTTCGGGAAGGCGTTGTGGTCTCACGTACTGAGAACTGACGGGAAGTCTTACCCTGGGCTCACATGCCTGGAAGAAAACATGATTCCCACAAGCATTCATGGGAAAACTTGGTCTCACGAGTCCCAAAAGGACCAGAAATCTCGACACAACATTACAAAATGCATATTCGTTTTATGATCTCAATTTTACATTCACCCAATTGCTCACTCTCGCTCTCTCTCTCTCTCTCTCTCTCTCTCTCTCTCTCTCTCTCTCTCTCTCTCTCTCTCTCTCTCTCTTCGTCTACTCATCTCTCCCCCCCCCTCTTACTTGATCTCTGCTGCTCTCTCTCTCTCTCTCTCCTACCCATCTCCTCTCCTCCTCTCTCTCTCTCTCCTCCCTAATCTTCTCCATCTTCCTCTCATCTTATGCTAATAAAGGACTTAAACATTATTGGATCCTTTCTTCCTAATTCATTAATCTCAACACTGAATGATCCAATGATCATGCATCAATAATAACAACTCAAACATACATAATAATAATAATAATAATTATAATAATAATAATAATATAATAATATATAATATTAGTAACAAAAGCAACAATAATACTAGTAAAAATAGCAAAATAACATTAATAATAACAAACAAAAATAATAATAACAAAAACAATAACAACCCAACAACAACAACAACAACAACAACAACAGCAACAGCAACAGCAATAATAATAATAATAATAATAATAATAATAATAATAATAATAATAATAATAATAATAATAATAATAAAATAATTGTAGATGAATGGTTCAGAGAACCGACATGTTGATAAATTAGACACATGTACAACTCTTGGGTATCTTTATTGAGGAAACGTTTCGCCACACAGTGGCTTCATCAGTCCATACAAAGGAGAATCTTGAAGAACAGGAGGAGAATGAGGTAATCAGTCCCTCAACCTTGAGTCGATGTGGTCAGTCCATCAATCTTGAATAGAATACGGCATATGTGCGGAGAAGCAGCTTATAAACCGTATGGCAGGAGAGGTGCAGCAGTCATAGGTGGTGTCACATTTGTCCAATGTGGAAGTAGGTCGTGCCCAAGGTCGTGCCCAAGGTCGTGCCCAAGTGTTAGGCAAGTGAAGAATTCCCAAGTATTAAGATCCCAAGAAGTTGCAGTGCTGACAGGATTGTAGATGAATGGTTCTTCAAGATTCTCCTTTGTATGGACTGATGAAGCCACTGTGTGGCGAAACATTTGCTCAATATAGATGCCCAAGAGTTGCACATGTGTCTAATTTACCAATAATAATAATAATAATAATAATAATAATAATAATAATAATAATAATAATAATAATAATAACAGCAATAATAATAATAATAATAATAATAATAATAATAATAATAATAATAATAATAATAATAATAAAACGCAATAATAAAATAAATAATAATAATAATAATAATAATAATAATAATAATAATAATAATAATAATAAATTTTATTTTCCAGTAGATTCATTCTCATCTTTGCCCCTTTAAAAAAATCATAAAATATTGTTTTTTTCACCACAATATATAATAACAAATTTCTCCTCCCCCCCAAAAATAATTATTCCCCCTCCCCCCAAAAAAGAACTGATTAAATTTTACTGGTCCACTCTATACAAAACCAATTTCGTCTAATTTTGACCTAGTCTAAAAAAAGTTTTAATCCAGGATAAATGTTGCCTTTCCTTTCTTCCTCCATCTTTTTCCCTCCCTCTTTCCTTCTCTACTGCCTCCCTCCCTCCCTCTCTCTCTCTCTTCTTCCCCTCTCTTTGTTCCTCTCTCTCTCTCTTCACTTCTTTCTTCCATCATCCTCCCTCCCTTCCTCCTTACAACCCTTCCTCTCTTTTTATCCTGTCTTTTCCTCCCTAGTTTTCTTCCTCTGCCACCATCCCTCACACCATCCCTCACACCATCCCTCACACCATCCCTCACACCATCCCTCACACCATCCCTCACACCATCCCTCACACCATCCCTCACACCATCCCTCACAGCATCCCTCACAGCATCCCTCACACCATCACTCACACCATCCTCACACACCATCCCTCACACCATCCCTCACACCATCCCTCACACCATCCCTCACACCATCCCTCACACCATCCCTCACACCATCCCTCACACCACCATCCCTCACACCATTCCTCACACCATCCCTCACACCATCCCTCACACCATCCCTCACACCATCCCCACACCATCCCTCACACCATCCCTCCACACCATCCCTCACACCATCCCTCACAGCATCCCTCACACATCCCTCACAGCATCCCTCACACCATCACTCACACCATCCCTCACACCATCCCTCACACCATCCCTCACACCATCCCTCACCACCAACCCTCACACCATCCCTCACACCATCCCTCACACCATCCCTCACACCATTCCTCACACCATCCCTCACACCATCCCTCACACCATCCCTCACACACCATCCCTCACAGCATCCCTCACAGCATCCCTCACACCATCACTCACACCATTCCTCACACCATCCCTCACACCATCCCTCACACCATCCCTCACACCATCCCTCACACCATCCCTCACACCATCCCTCACACCATCCCTCACACCTTCCCTCACACCATCTCTTACACCCCTCCCTCCCCACCATCCCTCACACCATCCCTCACCCACCCCTCACACCTTCCCTCACACCATTCCTCACACCATCCCTCACACCATTCCTCCACACCATCCCTCACACCATCCCTCACACCATCCCTCCGACCATCCCTCACACCATCCCTCACAGCATCCCTCACACCATCCCTCACACCATCCCTCACACCATCCCTCACACCATCCTTCAAGCCATCCCTCACACCATCCCTCACACCATCCCTCACACCATCCCTCACACCATCCCTCACACCTTCCCTCACACCATTCCTCACACCATCCCTCACACCATCCATCACACCATCCCACACACCATCCCTCACACCATCCCTCCGACCATCCCTCACACCATCCCTCACAGCATCCCTCACACCATCCCTCACACCATCCCTCACACCTTCCCTCACACCATCCCTCACACCATTCCTCACACATCCCTCACACCATCCCTCACACCATCCTTCAAGCCATCCCTCACACCATCCCTCACACCATCCCTCACACCATCCCTCACACCATCCCTCACACCATCACTCACACTATCCCTCACACCATCCCTCACACCATCCCTCACACCATCCCTCACACCATCCCTCACACCATCCCTCCACACCATCCCTCACACCATCCCTCACACCATCCCTCACACCATCCTTCAAGCCATCCCTCACACCATCCCTCACACCATCCCTCACACCATCCCTCACACCATCCCTCACACCATCACTCACACTATCCCTCACAACCATCCCTCACACCATCCCTCACACCATCCCTCACACCATCCCTCACACCATCCCTCACACCATCCCTCACACCATCCCTCACACCTTCCCTCACACCATCCCTCACACCATCCCTCACACCATCCCTCCCACACATCACTCACACTATCCCTCACACCATCCCTCACACCATCCCTCACACCATCCCTCCCCACCATCCCTCACACCATCCCTCACACCATCCCTCACAACCATCCTCACACCATCCTTCAAGCCATCCCTCACACCATCCCTCACACCATCCTCACACCATCCACTCACACCATCCCTCACACCATCCTTCAAGCCATCCCTCACACCATCCCTCACACCATCCCTCACACCATCCCTCACACCATCCCTCACACCTTCCCTCACACTAACACTCTTTCCTTTTCCTTTCTCTCGTTCTCCTTTCCTTCCTCTACATATTTTGTCTATTTTTATCATCTTATTTCAAACCTGCAGTGCAGCATGAAAGAGTGAATAGTAGGGAGAGAGCCTTCTGCTATGCTAGCTGTCCTGCCATGGTATCCTTCTGGTATAATATCTGTCCTTGTACAACACTATCTCTTCCTATGTTATCTATCCTTCTATACTATCCTTTTGATATACTTTTTATCCTACTTCTGTACTACCTATCATTTTCCTATACTATCTAACCTGCTATACGATATATCTGATTTTCTGTTATACCATTTATCCTTCTGTTATACCATTATTCCTTTCATTATACCATTTATCCCTCTACCATTTATCCTTTTGTTGTATCATTTATGCTTCTATTAAACAATTTCTCCATCCGTTATACCATTTATCCTTCTGTTATACCATTTATCCTTCTTACTTTCTCTTGTTCCAATTTATCATTCTGCTTTATTATTTCTCGTTCTATTGCCCTATATACCTTTCTGATATACGATATATCCCACTGCTATAGTATCCTTGCCTCAACTGTCTTAAAGGAGATATACTGGTAGGTAAGCTGTGGTCAGGCCTATGTACTCACAGGTACTTACATGACTCAAGAAATCGTAATGACACGATTGCATGTTCTCTTCTTTACTCTAATGTCTTGTACTCCCCTGTACTTTGCATCAATAAGTGCTAATCAAGGTTTACTTTCTTTCTCTCACAGAAAGCTGATCTGGCCATTGGTTCCATGACTATCAACTATGCCAGAGAGAACGTCATCGATTTTACCAAGCCTTTTATGAACGTAGGGATCAGTATATTGTTCAAGGTGGGTAACAGACGTTCACTTTCAGCACCGGACATTAAAGTTGTTCAAAGAGGCAAGTGGTCGCATTTAACACCTAACGTCAGTGAAATTTTCAAGGTTAATTAACCAAAGTCCAATACTAAATATATATATATATATATATATATATATATATATAATATATATATATATATATATATATATATATATATATATATATATATATATATATATTAATATATATATATATATAATATATATATATATATATATATATATATATATATATATATATATATATATATATATATATATATATATATATATATATATATATATATATATATGTATATATGTCGTGCCGAATATGTAAAACTGGTCAATTAGCAAGAACTCATTTAAAATTAAGTCCTTTCTAAAATTTTCTCTTGTACGTTTAAAGATATATTTTTTTCATTAATGTTAATGTAAAAATTTTTAATTTTGCACCAAAATAATCTTAGAAAACTTACCTAACCTTATTATAACAAGAACAATTTATTTTAGCCTAACCCAGCTAAATATATTTTAGATTTGTTTACAATAATTTAATACTAAGCAAACACAGTGAAATATACTTTTTTCGTTAGGCTCAGAATGATTTTGGCGAAATTATTGCATACACAAATTTTCACTTGTCCTATATGGCAAGATGAGCGTTGCTATTTAAGCCAAGATCGCAAGTTCTGCCTATTCGGCACGACACACACACACACACACACACACACACGAAGACCAGGCAGAAATACAAAGGGATCTGGACAGGCTGCAGACCTGGTCCAGCAACTGGCTCCTGGAGTTCAATCCCACCAAGTGCAAAGTCATGAGGATTGGGGAAGGGCAAAGAAGACCGCAGATGGAGTACAATCTAGGGGGTCAGAGACTACAAACATCACTCAAGGAAAAAGATCTTGGAGTGAGTATAACACCAGGTACATCTCATGAAGCGCACATCAACCAAATAACTGCTGCAGCATATGGGCGCCTGGCAAACCTCAGAACAGCATTCCGACATCTTAATAAGGAATCGTTCAGGACCCTGTACACCGTGTACGTTAGGCCCATATTGGAGTATGCGGCACCAGTTTGGAACCCACACCTAGCCAAGCATGTAAAGAAACTAGAGAAAGTGCAAAGGTTTGCAACAAGACTAGTCCCGGAGCTAAGAGGTATGTCCTATGAGGAGAGGTTAAGGGAAATCAACCTGACGACACTGGAGGACAGGAGAGATAGGGGGGATATGATAACGACTTACAAAATACTGAGAGGAATTGACAAGGTGGACAAAGACAGGATGTTCCAAAGACTGGACACAGTAACAAGGGGACACAGTTGGAAGTTGAAGACACAAATGAATCATAGGGATGTTAGGAGGTATTTCTTCAGCCACAGAGTAGTCAGGAAGTGGAATAGTTTGGGAAGCGATGTAGTGGAGTCAGGATCCATACATAGCTTTGAGCAGAGGTACGATAAAGCTCATGGTTCAGGGAGAGTGACCTACTAGCGACCAGTGAAGAGGCGGGGCCAGGAGCTTGGACTCGACCCCTGCAACCTCAACTAGGTGAGTACAACTAGGTGAGTACACACACACACACACACACACACACACACACACACACATATATATATATATATATATATTATATATATATATATATATATATATATATATATATATATATATATATATATATCTACTTGCCATACTCTGTAGTGGAAGGGTGTGGAGCTGCCAGCCACAGGGAGACCCAGAAGATCCGCAAATATGAAGACCTTCCCCCTTGCTATAACTTCATCCCAATAGGGTCGGAGACCCTTGGAGCATGGGGAAAGTGTGCTCTAAAGTTCCTAATAGAGCTGGGTGAAAAGCTCATCATAGAAACCAAGGACCACAGGGCGACCAGCTTCCTCTTTCAGAGACTCAGGTTTGCAATCCAGAGAGGAAATGCCTGCAGCATTCTGGGCACGCGGCCCACCGCCGGGGAGCTGGACGAAGTATTCGAGATGTAGCTCTGAGTCACCTATTTTGTTTTACTTTCTATCGTATTTTTGTGAATGTATTTTGTCAATGTATTTTGTCTTTAAATAATATATACATAAAATATAGGGGGTGGTAGGAGAAAATTTTCAAACAGCTTCAGGGAGAACCTTGAGTTTTCCCTGAAGCAAGTTTATTCTTTTCTCTGAGGATGAGGGTCCCTAGGACAGTTCTAGAGGTGGTACCTCCCTATATATAATATATATATATATATAAAATATATATATATATATATATATATATATATATATATATATATATATAATATATATATGTGTGTGTGTGTGTGTGTGTGTGTGTGTGTGTGTGTGTGTGTGTGTGTGTGTGTGTGTGTGTGTGTGTGGTGTGTGTGTTATGTATTGTGTGTGTGTGTGTGTGTGACAACAATTAACCATTTCACTTCTTAATTATTTCGAATATAAATAATGTAAAGAAACATACAAGATATTTCCATTACATTTAATGAAATTATATATGTCGGTTTAGTTGGATTACATTGTTATGTTTTGTTTTAAAAAGCCTTAATTAACCATGGTGGATCATTCAAGACAAGGATGGGTGGTGCAGGCTCGACCCTCCGTCCGCTTAACACGGGGCGGATACTCCGCTCTGCCTAATAGTAATGTTAGGAATTTATTTCTCTGAGAAAAATTACCTTTATTCCTAAAAGAAATATTTTGAATATGAAAGAAAAAAAAAGCCATTTAATTGAGGTAGATACTTAAGAAGTAGTTTAAGAGGAAGATAAAGAAGAGGGAGAGGAAGTAAGGTAAAAAAAAAGAGGAGAAGAAGAATGAGACGAAGAAAAGAAAACGAAGGAGAATAAGATGAGTAAAAATAAGTTGAAGAATAAACAAGATGAAAATGAAAAATAAGACGAACAAGAAAATATGTAGTTATTTATCTCTGTATCTGCTGTTTTTTTTTTCTGTTTATCGTATTTTTCTAATATTTGTATAAGAGTTTTCTTCCTTCTTCTCCTTTCTTGCTTTTGCCATATCCCTCTTCCTAACCTTCTTCCCTTATCGCATCTTCCTTCTTAACCATGATCCTCCTCTTTCTCCACGTCTTTTCTCACCTCTTACTCCCATTCTCCTCTTCCTCCCGTCCTTCACCCCTTCATTTATCCTCTTCCAACTATTCCCTCCTATCCTCCTCCTCCTTTTATTCTCCTCACTCCTCTTCTTACTCCTTCATCTCCTTTTCCTCTTCTCCTTTTAACCTTTCCCTTTCATCTTCCTTCCCGTTGCCTGTGACACTAGCAACAGTAAGTGTCGTACCGTCAAACACAAGCCACAGACAGTCACGGCAAACATTGTTTTAGAACCTCCTGGTTTGTTTGTTTGTGGCTTTCTGCC